GTGGGATGCACACGAAAGGGAGGATATGGTACTCTTCAAGGTGTGCCTCTTGGAAGAACGTTCTAGAACACTTCCAATATGTGCAGGACTCCCCTGGAGGACTTTGTTGATTCATCTCCATGGACATCTACTAGAGGGAAAGCCTGGGTGGGAGTGGGCATGGGGTGGACTCAAGAGACAGGCAGCTCTCCTTCCACCTGGAGCCCACTCTGCTCTCTGATTGGCCAGCCAGCTTGTGTGTGAGCTCTCCCTGAAGTAAGGCTGCATTCATCCATCAACCCACAGCCAGTCAGTGGAGAAAGTGAAGCCAGGGGCCTTGTGGCCTGCTCAGTACGTTTTTGCAGGGCTGAGATTCCTATTCTGCTCCACCATCAACACACATTGCAGCTGGTCTCCTTCATCCACTGGGGCTGTGATTTCTCCTTCCTCACATGAGGTCACTCGAGCTTTCCAGTCCCTATTTCCTCACTCTAGAATGAAGCTACTACTAAAGGGTAGGAGGACCAGGCCAGGCAAAGATATGGAAGTCCCTGAGAGTTCTGAGTCTTGTTGCTGCCATTCACCCTTTTTTGAGGGTATGAGAGTACCATGATTTCTTAGGTGGCAGCAGCCATGTGGCCCCTACCTGGGTATCGCTCTAGGGTCAGCATGAGGACTCAACTGGACTTCTAGTTTTCTTTGCTCTTCCCTTTCCCTTGTCTTTTCTTTCCTTTCTTTTGTTCATTTCTCTTTTCTTTTCCTATTTTTTTCTCTTTTTCTATTCCTCCTTCCTTTTCTTTTTAGAGACATCCTTTTTGTGTAGCCCAGGGTAGCCTCCAACTAGTAATCCTTACTCAGCCTCATGAATGCTGGGATTACAGGTATATGTCTTTATACTTTGTGCTCAAAAAATTAAAAAGCATGTGTGTTTCATCTTGTGTTTTCCAGGAAGGTAGGATAAAGTATATTGCAACATGGACTAGATAGAGTTCTTCTCTGTGAATGCTCACTTCAGCTAGGAGAAGACATTATGTTTCCCTACCAAGTTAGTTCCAGACTTGTTCAGGAAAACAATCATTTAACTTCTAACACATCTAGAGTAATTTCCTTTAAGAAAGAAAATCCCCCAACTGAACAACAGTATCAGTTCCCACTACAGGTGGAGCCTAGAGCATGTGTAGGCTGGCTGTAAGGATTTTTGTGGTGGTCTCCTTTGGGTGGGGGAGAATCAACATGCATATTCAAGAAGGATCCTCCCTGTCTCTCAGTTCAGGGGAGAGTACTTGAGAGTATCCAGGTGTTCTGAACTCTGCATGGAACTCTGCAAAGGAGCTGAGGGAATTTGGGGTTCAGAGGGCTCAGGGTCCCCAAGCAGGAAAGGTTGAGTGTTGTAACCAAGCTATGCAATGTGTCCCCACTGAGCGGGGAGCTAGGCTGTCTGAAGCTTGTTCTGCTGGGTTGGGGGCATGGGCAGAGCATCCTAAATGTTTTGATCTTGTTGATGCTGGTGATTGCCACACTTCTCCATCCAGTCATCCTCAGGACGAGGTGGGAGGGAGAATATTGAGAGAGAGAGAGCTGCTGGAGAAGGGGAAGCTCCTCTTCTCAGTGAATGGCCCCACCACACATCTGGTAGACCTTGTGTAGCCTGAGTGCTCTATTTCCTTCTATCTTGCTTTCCCAGCCTGCTGGGGGAAGTACTCTATAAAACTATGAATCTACTCATCCACTCTCCGTCCACGGGTTCCACGTTCACAGATTCAAATAACCTAGGATGGAAAATAGTTGGGGAAAATTACATCTGTACTGAACATGTACAGGTGGTCTTTCATGTCGTATTCTCGAACAATAGAGTATGCCAACTCTTTCCAAAGCACCTGTACTATATTAGGTGCCATGTGCAAGGCAGGCCTGATTCAAAGGGCTCAGAAGGATGTATGAATTTTATGTAATGCGGTGCCATTTTATATAGGAGACTGACCATCTGTGAGTTTTGGCATCTATGTGTTGGAAAATTCTGGAAAAAAATCACCTGGGGACAACAAGGTATGAAATGGTTATTATTTGTTTGGTTTTTGAGACAGTTTTACATACCTCAGGCTGGCCTCAAAGTCAGGATCTTCCTACTTTTCCTTCTAAATGCTTAGATTACAGGCACGTGACACCATGGCTGGCCAAGAGAAGAATGATTAAATCTGCTGTCGTATCTCATTGGCATTTTGCTCAGTGTGAGGGAGAAGCTGTGACCACTGTCTGTCCTGAGAGCTCTCCTGAGGGACCCCCTCAATGTGGGGGACCCCATCCACATGTGGACTTTAATCCACTTGTGCCATTTGTCCAGATGACTTTGAAGTCACCTGGTTGGGACTCTGTTTCTAGGATCAGTGAGATGTTATTGTATTTCTTTTCAGGAAAAGGAAATTATTTTTCCAAAAAAAATAGAGAATGTGAGATGGGAATGGTCAGGGAATTGAAATACTTGTTTTAGTTTTATCTGTCCTGTGGGTGTCCCAGACAATTTGGCTTCTATCTTATTCTCTTTTTTTCTTTTCTTTTTATTTAATATATTAATTTACTTTGTTTTGGGTAACAACCAAATACACACACTCTCTCTCTCTCTGTCTCTCTCTCTCTCAGCTAAAACTGCAAAGGATTGCTCAATAAATTTCAACCTATCAATGTATTGGGAAATAAACAGTGGCTCATCTATTTTAATTATGGAATAAAAATGGAGCCTACTCAGGCATCTTACCCATCTGACAAATTTGGGTCAGTTTAGAACCTGTGATAACAAGTAGAAAGACTCAGAATGTGTAGGTTGTTGAGCAAGAAAGATCCAGGATGGTGATACCCAGGGGGCCTGGGCAGGCGGCCTGAGAGGACTGCAGTGGCACAGGCTGGTAGAGGTGGGCAGAGGCAGAAAGCCCCCAGCCTGGTGTAGCTGTGTCCTTGCTCTGAGGGGTGGGGCCTGCCTATTAGCACTGTGGAATGGGGAAAGACCTCCCATTCAGGAGACGAAGATACTGTCAGTCAGGAGGTGGGAAAGAAACTTGCTTCCCATCATCTATGTGGGAGACCAACACCCAACCCTGTGATCCCCAGTCAGTTCTCATGGCTACAACTGTGCAGTAGAAAGACCTGGTGAATCTTCTGGTCAGCTTCTCAGCACAGAGCTTTGGGTGAGGGCACCCATGTGCCAGGGAGCTTTTCTAGGGTAGAGCACCCAGCAGTCACTCTGCCTGCTGGTCTGGGGCTCAGCCCAGGCTGCCCTGACTCACAGGCACAGCCCCTGGCAGCTGGCTCACTGCTTTGCCTCTCAGCTTGCTGGCAAACCATCTACTGAGACATTTTTGCTTGAGTGGCATGCCCTAACTTCTCCACTCCTGACATTGGGAAACAGTGCATGCCTGGGTGGCGATCTCCCTGAGTAACCGACACTTCTATTTTGGTCTTTTATAAACAGTCCAGCCCATGAGCTCCTGAGATCCAGTCTCTTTCATGTCCTAATTTTTTGTTGTGGTTGGTTTTGTTTGTCTCTAAAGCCTATTTTCATACATCCCACAGAGCCCTCTTGTTCACCACAAGTTAAACTTTACCAGAGTAGTCCTGGGAGTGGAAGTTTCTTAGATTAAAAAGAGGACGCTGGGCTCAGAGAAGGGAACTCTTTCCTAGATGTCATCCAGCTGTGAAGGCATGAAGAGAGGGGCTCCTGACTGCTTGGGTACCGTGGGATTATCTATCTATCTATCTATCTATCTATCTATCTATCTACACACATATATGCATATATTATATTACATCTTCTGTATATGTGTGAGATGGTTTGGTTTGAAGTGCAGGCCAATAGGGAGCTGGTTTCATCCGGTTCTCTGTGTAGCTTGTGTCCATTTGTGCTCTGGCTTTACCTTCAATTTTCTCCATGGGGTAATACAGAGTTTTAGACCCCAGATGCACATACTTTTGCCTAGGACATCTGAGAAATTAAGAAGCTAATAACCTAATATGGCAACAAACCAGCTCTGAAGTTCACCCTCATTGGATCACTGAAGTTACCCCTTCCCTGAGCCTGAACTGATTGGGTCAGGTCTATCTTCTGAGCCAATCACAAGCAAAGGAGTTTTGATTGAACCAATCACAAGTAGAGGAGTTTTGATTGTCTTGCACAAATCACATCCTATTTTGGAGCTGAGACTGGAGGCTCCAGAGAGGACTAGTTTGGGCAGTTTTTGCTAGAAGTTTTTCCACTATCATACCACAAATTTCTTGAAGACGCATGTCTGCTGTGGGGAAGGTTGCATCCCTAATGCCTTCACAAACAGAAAGGATTTGGGATTAAGAAACCTCTAGAAATAGGCTGGGCATTAGTGCTTGATGATTCAGTCAACCAGAAGTATCAGACACTTGGATTTGGCTGTGGTGGACCCTGTTGATGTCTAGCAGGGCCAATACACATGGCTGCTAACAAATCATAGCTACCTTTCTCAGACCAGAAGACTGTGGTGAGTTGATGTGAGCTAATGGTCCCAGGGTACATCAAGTCCTACATCTTAAGGACAGACCACGGTCACCTACTATCTGGTTCCATCCAGCAGCTCCTCAAGGCTGGCCAGCTGCTCTGGAAGCCAACCAAGGCTGGATTTGGTCTGGGACAGCACCCTTGCTCTGCTCTTTATCTTGTGGCTTCCCTACAGGCTCTCTTGGGACAGCTATCAGTATGCAGCATGGATGGAGTCCTGTCAGGCCTATATAAAGTCACTCAGAGGAACTGCCATGTCTCAGTGAGCTTCTACACTCAAGCCTCTCACTCGTGACCTGGGGTTGGTTATTTCTTGTTGCTGTAGTGATGAGAGAGGCTGAATGTGGTTGTGTATGGCAAAGCACTCAGTGCCACAATGTGCAACACACAGGTCTCTGTTTCCATGTTCATCTGTTCTCACTCCTGGATATTTGAGAGGTGATGGAGTTCTTTTGTTCTCTGCTAACCTCAGACCTATTGCTCCACAGGACAATCTCCAAGGACCATGAAGCTTATGCTGGGCCTCGGCCTGTTTCTGGCTGGCCTCCTCACAGCACAGAATCTTCAGCAGCCCGACCTTTCTCCAAGAAGCTATGAAGCCCAGGGCCAAGATGGAGAGTCAAAGGCCAAGAGAAACGCCCAGCAACTGGCCTGGCGCAATATGCAGTTTGGTTTCAAGCTGCTCAAGAAGCTGGCTTTCAGGAACCCTAGGCAGAACATCTTCTTCTCCCCACTAAGCATTTCCACCGCCTTCTCCATGCTGTCTCTGGGGGCCCAGGACTCCACACTGGCTGAGATAAAGCAGGGCCTGAGCTTCCGGGGCATGGCAGACAGGGACCTGCACGAGGGCTTCCACTACCTCCTCAAAAGGCTAAACCAGGAGAAGCAGGACGTCAAGATGGACCTTGGCAATGCCCTGTTCATCGACAGGAGGCTGAAGCCCCAGAGGAACTTCCTGAGAGCCGCCAAGAGCATGTACAATGCAGAGATGCTGTCCACCAGCTTCCAGAACTTGAAAGAAACTCAGAGGCAGATCAATGGCTATATCAGCCAGAAAACTCACGGGAAAATCCATAACCTAGTCAGGAGCATAGACCCGGGAACAGTCATGATTCTTACAAACTACATTTTCTTTCAAGGTAAGGTGTGGGGCATGTGGGTGTGAGGAGGGGAGGGTGTGCAGACTTGCATCAGAAGCCCGGATTCACCCCCACTGGCTTGTTCTGTTGAACTTGAACTCCTGTGTATATAACCTTTCACACTTTCTCAGGTGCTTGCCTTCCCTATCTGTGAAATAAGCACAGCAATACATCATCCATCACTTAGTTGGAGGGATTCAAGGTGAAAATGCAGAGACAAGCTTTGTACATCTGGGTTGCTCAGCTCTGTGTGTTCATTACTGTTGATGACCTCAGCATGCCTTGGTTGTAGAAGGTGGAGGGGGGCACTTTGATAGCATTTCTTAGATGAGCTAAGTGAAAACCAGAGAGAGAGAGACAGACAGAGAGAGAGAAAGAGAGAGAGAGAGAGAGTTCAATTAATTCCACTCCCAAGGCCAGCTGGTATGAGTTGGTACCAGAGACCATTTCTCACAGGCCTAGAGCTATGCACTTTCCTTCACACCAAGTGGATCCCAGAGTCAGGATGCTGATGTGGCAGCCACCACTGTGCTGGGCGTGGGTCTCCCTCTCAGATGTTGTAGATTTCCCAAGACTAAGGGGGAGACTGAAAAAGAAAAAGGAAGGTTACTCAAATTATCCACCCCCCCCCACACACCTCACAACCTCTCACCGTCTATCTGCCATACACACATACACAGGAACTGGCCAGAAAGATAAACATCAAAGGCTGACATCCCTCAGTCCAGGCCAGACCACCACTGCACTGCCGGTGACAGGGTCTCCGGAATTCCGTGGGGACACAGATGACTCTTACAGGGAAGGGAGAGCATACTTTCCCACCTGAGAGGAGATGCTGGAATTGCTCACAGTCTCCTCATCCCCTAGATCACTTTAGCAACAGGTTATGACCATGATTCTGACAGTGACCAGCATCTACTCAACATGTACTAGACAGAGAGCTACATACACTGCCTTCTTCTTTCTCGTTCTGTCTTGACGTAGTTCTAACCGATGCTTAGAATTATCATTATTAAGTCCGTGAATTAAGGACACCAAAGCCTGGGGAGATTGACACTCTTGCCCAAGGTCCTCCTTTTAGAACAATGAGGCCAGGATTTGCGCTTGGGAAGTTTGGCTCTCAAGGGCCTATGCTGGGGGCTGTAAGGATCACAGATTTGAAAAGAGATCTGAATTTATGTGCAAAGGGGTCAGAGCATCCTCAGTATCAAATAGGAAGAGTCCAAACATACCCTTTGAGTGTTTGCTGCTTTCTAGAAAGCTCCACTGTCGGCGTGTCCCGTTAGTTTCCCCAGCCCCACACAAGAGGGGTTCTTTTGAGGTTGACCTGGAATCCAATCAAATGCTTTCACTCAGTCACACTCAAAGAGACACTACTAATTGCCATCAACTCTCTTCATGATGACATAAACTTTGGGCTTTTTTAGAGCCTCAGGGACATCTAGGCTCTGGGCAGTCTGCTAGGCTTATAGCTCTGCAGCCCTGGTCTTGTTTTTACTGTTTTTGTCTTTGTTTGGATCCCTGGGCCTCACTCCAGGCCTCACCAGAAATCTTCAGAGCATAGAAGGAGAATGGGCATTTCTGGAGTCCAGAAAACCCAAACCCCTCCTCTCCCAAGTCCTTCCTCAGAATCGGTGTCCACAGTGAGCAGCGACTGTTTGGATTTGCTCACTTCCTTTCCTTCCAGGCCCTCATGTCATTTTGTCCTTCCGTCCGAAGCCAGGTGGAAATATGAATTTGACCCCAAGAAAACTAAAGAGGAGAATTTCTTTGTGGATGAAAGGAAGACAGTGAAGGTGCCGATGATGTTCCGTTCGGGCCTGTATGACATCGCCTATGACGACCAGCTGGGCTGCACCATCCTGGAGATGCCGTACTACGGGAACATCACCGTCGCCTTCATTCTCCCCGACAAGGGCAAGATGCAGAGCCTGGAAGAGGGCTTGAAGGTGGACATTTTCAGCAAATGGAAGAGTCTGCTTGCAAAAAGGTAAAAGCGGGGACCTGGCGGAGGTAAGTTCTTGCTGCTTCTTTGCTTCCCTCCTGCTCTTTATTTTTCTTATGGTGGTGTTAGCAAGCTCTTGTCCAATGGCCCAAGCCCTCTTTGGGGTTCTGTGATGAGCTTCTCCGAGGGTAGCTGCGGTCAGGGAATGTGTAGCGCCTCACTGGAATACAATGAGCCACTGCATCGGTGGTCATGCAATGGAGTTGTGGGAGCACAGAGGATGAAGCCGTAACAGGAGGTGGCAGTCAGGGAGGGCCTCACAGAGGAGGTGGGACTGTCAATGCAGGGCTGTGTGGGAGGGAGAGGAGTGATTGACTCTTAGGCCAAGGACACTGTGAGTGGGAACCCCTGGGGTGTCGAAAGAGCTGCCAGAGGTTTGCTGTAAATAGAACGATGTGTTCAACGTGGGTGTTAGACAAAGCCAGTGACGTGGAGGACCATACACTAGTCGATGTACAGTAAGCCTGTGGAATGTGTCTCAGCCAGGAGCTGTGGGTGGATTTTCTTGGAAGGCAAAGTACTGGTGCTGTCACAGTTGTGTCTGGGGGGCTTGGTGTCCTAGCTAGCTCTTGCACATTGAAGGGGAGTCACTGGCATGGGATGGAAGGGAAGGGAGACAGTTTCCATTCAGGCAGGAGCCTGATTCAGGCAGGAGCCATGTCTGGATTCCCCCTCCCTGCTCGTCCCAGGCTCCCTCCCCCTGGCCTGGCAGTCATCCGTCGGGTCTCAGCGAAGGTCTGGACTTCAGCGCACCCTGTCTGAGAGAGAGGCAGAGGTGAGGCCAGGACCAGGCTCCTGTGTGGCTGGCAGAACGGATGCTGACCTCTCAGGACCTCGGCAAGAACCGAATCTAGACTAGTCTGGCATTCGCTACAGAGGATTTGCACCGGCTTGACTTCCCATCTTTTTCTGATTTGCTGGAGACCCCACGCTCTGCTGTGGAAGCCCAGCCCAGCAGGCCTTGCTCACCAGGGAAAGGGGTGGACATCCCTGAACAAGTGACCAGCTCTTTTCAGCGTATGCCCTCAGAGCTGCAGAGCTGAGAAAGCTGGAGTGGCCTCATTAAGAGATTGAGAGGGGCAGAAGATGAAGAGAAGATGGAATATAGGGAGAATCTCAGCCTTCCACCCTGGTTTCATGGCCTTTTGAGACTGGGCTTAAGACCACAACTTTAGAAACAGATTGCAATGGCTTAAGACTCTACAGTTGGGTCTTCCCAGGTGCCCCAGCTGCCTTGCCATGTTCTGTCTGACAGTTTCTCACCTGAGTTTGGTTCTGGTGCTGGCAGTGGTACGCCACGATCCTTTCTCCATGGCCTTCTGCAGCCTCATGCTGCTACACTAACCGCACACAAGGGGCTCCTGGGCTCTGCCATCATAAGGTACATTAAGCATCTCCTGAAAGAGGGAATCATCTCCCCTAAATGCACTCATGCCTATGAAGAAGAAAACAAAAACATTCTTTTTTCTCAAGAGAAGCAACTACATCAACAGACAGGCATCTAAACGTACTTGCCCAAACTACCAGTGCATAAGACATGTCAGAATTGAGGCTTTCAGTACTCAGCCTGGCTTCCTACGGAAGGCAGAGGCCTTCAGGCAGCCTGGCGTGGCCCTGCTCCCCGTCTCCTGTGCAGATCCCCTCTGTCGTCTTCCCCTCTGAGAGGAGAGAGCCTCAGGCTCAGTCCTTGGGCTCTTTGCTGCCGGCCTCAGAGTTTTCACCACTATGCCATCACCTTGATGTCTGAGTTTCTCAACCGCCCCAGGTCTGTCTCCCTAAGTCCAGAGTCCTGCTCCCCTTCACTCATAGTTTCCTTGGATGTAGACTGCGATCTCTGTCTCCATGGCTATCAGAATCAGCATCTTGGTCCCGCTGGGAAGCCTCCTCCTATTGCTGAGCAACCCCATCTTTCCTTTGCTCAGACCATACCCTTTGACGTCATACTTATCATGATTCCCCCACCCCACCCCCCAGCAACCCTGGCTGCATGTCAGGAAAGCTGCTGGCCTAACTGTGGTCCAGATCTCTTCCCATTCTCTGAGCTCTTACCTCTGACTCACTCACAAGCTTCCGGACAGTCTTTAAGACCAATGCTTGTCCTCCTTGCCCATCACCAAGTGTGTGTGGTTGGCAGAGCTAGCAGAACAAGCTCTGAATATCCTAAACAAGACTACATTATTCCTCTGGTCAAAAGTCTACTGTGGCTCCCTGTCTTCTTCAGAGAGAAAGATGGCACTTGCCTGAACCCTTTGTCTCCAGCAAGGGTTTCTCAAATCTCTTCGTGTTTCTCGGCCTTCCTGATTCCAGCAAGTGTGTCTGTCCTTCCTTTCTGTCCCTAGCTCGTGTTCCCTCCTGGCACCCTGGCTGTATTTGCCTGTGTCTGGTGGTGATTTTCCTATCTGTCTTTCCTGCTTGAACGCAGTCAAGAGCAGGGAGTTCTGCCAATCCTGCTGGTCAATTCCCCTCTAGCACCTAGGACAGCATGTGCTTTGCAGAAGGTGCTTCCTGTTGGCTAGATGAATGAATGAGCAAATGGATAAATAGGAAGGTAAAGTTGGGAGCTGGCAGCCCTGGTGATGGTAACTCAAGTCACTGGACTGAATGAGGCTTCTGAGCAAGGAGTAAAGAGAGAAAGATGGGCTTATGCCCTGCCGAGCCCTGTCCAGCAGCCTCCTTTTGTACATGTCTCCCAGAGCCATAGATCCTCTGAGTGTGGGCTCCATTGGGACTAACATGGAAAGGTCATCGTGAGCATGGAGTGTCTACTCTGGGGTCTGAGGGTGAAGGAGCCTCTCCTCTTCCAGTGAATAGTGAGGTCTGAGAGCTTTGGCTCTGATACAACAAAGTTCCCCCCGGGCATCTCTCCTGCCCCTCTCTCCCCTCCCACCCCCCTATGGGAGGTAATCCTCCCTCTCACCCTCCCATCTCCCCTTCCCAGGGTGGTGGATGTGTTCGTGCCTAAGCTCCACATCACTGGGACCTACAACTTGAAGAAGACCCTGTCCCAACTGGGCATCAGCAAAGTCTTCGAGGAGCACGGTGACCTCAGCAGGATCTCCCCCTACCGCAGCCTGAAAGTGGGTGAGGTAAGCCTGCTGCTGGCTGCCCCTCCCACACTGGAGCCCTCACAGTCAGGGCCACAGGGTCACAGCCCACGCGCCCGCCAGGACCCCACCCACCAGACAGACAGGATTCATAACCAATCAGGATGAGAAGCAGGCCCAAGCCTGGTCTGTCTGTGGTCTCTGACAGGGTGAGCATCTTCCTATTTGGGGAAAAAAGAGGACTATCTAGGTAGGGTTATCACATTTAGAAGATACACTATATTTCGTTGAATTTAAAATTTAGAATAATAATGATTAGTTTGAGCATAACTATGTCCCAGATCTTGCATGAGACATATTCCATATTGAAATATATTCATTATGAATCTTGAATTAATTTTTTTCTGCAAGTTTTGGGGCTTGAATTAGCACCCTGAGTGCTGTCTCTGAGCTTTTTTTGCTCAAGGCTAGTGCTCTGTTACTTGAGCTACAGCTCTACTTTTGGATTTATTTTATTAATGGGAGATTAGAGTCTCGTGCATTTTCCTTGCCAGGCTGGCTTCAAACTGCAATCCTCAGATCTCAGCCTCCTGAGTAGCTAGGATTACAGGTATGAGCCACTGGTGCCTGCCTTTGAATTAAAGTTTAATTAGATGTCTTGTATACTGTACCAAATCTAGTTCCAGTGGGGGTGGTGTTGAGGCTTTCAGAAGCAGGGACAAGTGTGGGGAGAAGCTCAGTAGAGGAAAGGGCAGATCGAAGGCAGAAGGTGGAAAGTTAGGGGTGTGGTTGGGGGCTGGCTGTACTAAATGGGGTTAAGGAGAAGTGAGGCCAGTCTTGGAGGGATCTGGGTTGGCAAATCTGAAGGTACAGAATCTGTTTTCGATTTGTATGAAGAAGACACAGAATTTTCTGGTTTGATTTTTTTCCTTTCTCAGTTTTTAGACTCCCCTTCCCCTGAAAAAAAGTTCAAGGCCAGCTCATCATTTATCATAGGCCGTTGCCAAGCTCAGTGGCTTGTTTCTTTTGCGTAGTTAGCTGTGCTGAAAACTATGGCCCTAACGTAGAATTTTCAGTAAGGGAAAATGTTGACGTTCTGTAGACCAGAATGAAATATGTGCATCTCATACCGCCCATCCACTGCCCTGTATGCATCCACCAAGATACAGGGCAGTGGATCAGGGTGGAGGAACCTCCTACAGCTGATGCACAGCCTCTGTATCATCAACAGAGCTGAGCTGACCGCCCAGGTCCTTCTGACCATCACACCTGATCAGTCCCTGGAATTCCTGGGATAGCAAGTCTCCTTCTCCTCTATCTGCTCATTAAACATCATCCAGGTGACAGCAGGAGTGCCAGTGTCCCCATATGGCTGGCACCAGCACTGAGTTACAATGAGACTGGCCAACTTTGGCCAAGCTGGGTCCCTCTCTGACCTCTTTCCTCTGGCCCACAGCCTCTGAGTGGCTCAGCTAGCACTGACTTTTCCCTTGCTTCCCACAGGCAGTGCACAAGGCTGAGCTGAAGATGGATGAGAAGGGTACAGAGGGGGCTGCGGGCTCTGGAGCCCAGACACTGCCTATGGAGACCCCGGAAAAACTCAAGTTAGACAGACCTTATATGCTACTGCTTTATGAGAAAATCACCCCTTCCATGATTTTCCTGGCAAAGATTGTTGACCCTAGAGGGCAATAAAGAGGAATCTTGGCTTACTGCTGCTCTCCACACCGGCTGAAAACATTACATCTGCTAGAGATGAGGCTTCAGACATATTCTGACCAAATCCTGCTCCATCTCCATCTCCCAAGGCTGCTGCGGAGCCACATAGCTGGTTCTTGGGGTTTCCAGGCTCCACAGCTGTGTGTCCCCCTCCCTGCCCATGGGGATTTCCATGTGAGGTGCCACACCCCACCCACTCAGCTGTGTCCTGCTTGCCAAGGCTGTGGTGGGTAATTTGAGGAAGGTCCGAGCCACAGCAAGTAGCTGGGGTTTGGACTCATAGAGACCTGGAGACCTGGGCTCGAATTCTAGAATATTCTGAAAGGAAGATCCCAACCCACCCACCGTGTGTCTAAGGAAACTAACACCATTGCCTTAGAGAAGTTAGCTCCCCATTGTGAGTCTTTGGCCTTGAGTCATTTGTACAGTCTCTGCTTGGTGTCCAGCCAGGCCTTCAGAGGGATGGAAGAAAAGAGGTGGAAGCAGTCCAGTCCCATGGCCTGCATCTGGAGGCCATCTTGGGACTCACTGCAAGTTTTGTTCATTGAGACATAAGAGGATCCTGGGGCTCCCCCAGCTGGTGACCAAAGGGACGCCTACCATATGAACAGTTAGCCAATGGGATCCTTGCAACCCACTCCAAAAAACTGGCCTTGTGGTGTCTGTGTGTGAACACTAGAGGGCACTGGGGGCTCACAGCGCCACTTACAGTCACTAGTGTGGGTCAGCAGCTCCTTTCCCTCTGGCAGGGAGTTGCCGACATCCCTGGTGCTTTGGGATGAAGGCATCCTGATGTACCTGGCTCCAAGAAGCCTGAGCCAGCAGCACTTATCCATTCCTGGGTGTGCCCAGTGATCTTTGGTCCGCTGTAACTTTGAGTTCTTGTCTCAACCTACCTATTGGCAGCCAGATGTGACAGGTGTGAGGCTCAAAAGTGAGTGGCACCCTTATGGCCACAGAAGAGCCGCAGGCAGCAGTGCCTGAATTCAACACTGACCGGGAGCTCGACTGCTCTCCATGTCCCTTAGCATGTGAAGCTCCTGTACTGCCTCCTCCTGCATCCTGGGCTCCACGGGGCACTGAAGGCCCAGCTCACTGGCTAATGGACAAGGTAGCCTGGGGAGGATGTCTCAAAGGATGAATCTTTGTGCCAGACAGGGCACACCTGTCCACTTCCTCCGGGAGACCTGTGGTCCCACTTCCCTGCATTGGATTATGTCATCGCAGCTCACCCAGGTGCTTTCCCCATAACCCCTCCTCCGCCACTCCCTTCCAGAGCATTAACCAGCCTTACAGGAAGTCAACTCCTTCTAGAAATTGACCTGAGCCACTGCTTGTGGACTGGCTGACCTCACGAATTAATGAGCAATAAATCAATGGGTTTTCCCCATTGATTGAAATCAACATGTCTCAACAAAGCCTACACTGACGAGAGCTCCCGGTAACCCTACAGATCCCCAGCCCTTCGTGGAGAGACCATCCCCACGATGAGGAATCCAGGGCTGAAGAAAACCACATAACCTGCCCTGTGCTCACAGTTAATAAGGAAGGAAGGAAGGAAGAAAGAAAGAAAGAAAGAAAGAAAGAAAGAAAGAAAGAAGGAAGGAAGGAAGGGGAAAGAAGGAAGGAAAAAAGAAAGAAAGAAAGGAAGGAAGAAAGAAAGTGTGCTAGGGCCAAATGCAAGTCCCTTGAACATTCTTGGTTTTCATTTACCCAACCAACCACCCATCCACTCACCCATTCGTGCATTCATGCATGCATGCATCCATCCATCCAGGGTCCCCTCTGTGCCAGAGATGGTCCTAGGAGCTTGAGATGTATCAGTACATAGAATCTACAAAGATCCTTACCTTCACAGAGGTTTCAGGCTATTAGAGAGGCAGATAAAGAAACAAGAACATTGAGTTGCACAGGTAGAGGTGGGTGGAGGTGCTGGTGGGCGCCCAGGTTGATCATCCTCAGAAGGTGACACTCATCATCAAAATAGCAAACTACTTGGCTTCTAGCCATTGAAACCACAGAGTCACATAAGGTGTCCAAAGGCCCCCAGATAGAAAAATACAGAGCTAAGAGCAAAGGCAGGTCCCCTGGGCAATGCCTGTATATCAGTGTGAACTCAAGCAGACCTGGGTATCTTGATCTGGGGAGAGAGGAGCATTGACCACAAATGTGCATGCTGATGTCGGGGAGAAGCCTCCTCAATACACTCCTGTAGCTCTACCACAAGCTGCAGAAGGCATTCACACAGCCCTGAGGGTCCTGATAGGCTTTTTAAGCACATGCATGAAGAGATGTGGTTTCCTGGCTATTCTGGGTCAGTGTATTGCAGCCAGACTCCAGACCCACCTAGGAGGCTCTGGGGAGCACTGCCCATGCCACAGGTCCACGTGAGGACTGCAATCCCACCTTGGGAGGATTCTGGCTAAGATGGTACTTAATTTCAGTCTGTCAAAAAAAAGGAGCAGGCTGGTGGTGGGGCTCTGGTGTTAGAGACCTGGCCTAGCCAAGCACAAAGCCCTAGGTTCCATCTCGGTGTTGGAAAATGGGGGAAGGGGATAAGTAAATGTAAAAATAAGTATCAAAACATCAAAGCATAACAGGGTAGTTTGATTTTAAATGAGATACGGACACGAAACCAGAAATGGAGCAAAAGCATAAAGATGTGTGTAGTTAGCAAGAGAGTCTTGGGAACAGAAGATTCTAGAAAGTTGATGACCTAGCTGTAGCAGAAGAGACCCCATGGAGGAGGCAAACTGGGGACAGGTTACATTGTGCTGAGCCTTGCATGAACCCAGAGTGTCTTGTTCCTGTTTTTGCTGCTCTGGCAGGACTGGATTTATAGAATAGCTTGGCCTTTGCTTTGCAGCCATCTCTGACAGCCAGGAGTGGAAGTTGGGGACCTGAAGGTGAACTGAAGAGCTCCTCATTAGGCTAGGACAGATGCTGAGGTGGGGGTAATGGCTGGAGGAGCACCCAGCTCTCTTCAAACTCAAGCCTTCTAGGGATTCCCTGGAAGCTCTGATTCCATAGTTCTGCATCACAACAAGCATCCAATTAACCAAACTTAGAAAAGTGCCCCACCCCCTCTAGCTGCCTCCCCCGGGCTCACCATCAGACTTGACAGGGCAGCAGGTCAGAGTTCCCATCACCTCTCCCTTGCCATCGCAGTCCCTCCTCAGTCTTTACTTCCTCTGGGTCCGCCCCCTTCTCTCCATCTTCCCCTCACTGGGAAAGACCTGTGGGAACTGCATGGGGTGTAGATTGTCTAACCAGAGATAGAGAGACAGAGAGCTACGATGGCTGTGGCTGGTTTCAGTTATTTATAAAGGGAGTGGGGCTCAGGGAAGACAAGAGTGAGCAGTTTCGAGCTGGAGCTGTGGGAAGGAAAGGAGGATGTGCAGGAGGTCAGGGGATGGGGAAAGATGGCAGACTGAAGGAGAACTACCAGGCACCATCATCAGAATAGGAAATTAAATCACAGCGCTGCCTTTATTTTATTACACTCATTGGTTTAGTATTTTCTATTTAGCCCACATAGTCTTTCTACTCATTTCTTTTTTTTTCTTTCTTCTTACCACCACCCACAACCCATCAACGATCCACTCTCTTTTTAACCTAGGACTTCAATTATACATATACATAATAGTTTCCTGTGGGTCACTGGGTTCTTTTCTTCCTTCCTTTCTTCCTTTGTTTCTTTCTCTTTCTCTGTCTCTGTGTCTCTTTCTGTTTCTCTGTCTCTCTCTCTGTCTCTGTCTGTCTGTCTGTCTGTCTCTCTTTCTCTCTCTCTCTCTCTCCTAGTGGCACTGGGGTTTGAACTCAGGGCTTCCTGCTTATTAGGCAGATGCTCCACCACTTGAGCCATGCCTCCAAGCCTTGAGGCTATGTTACTTCTTTGTGTTATTCCTGCTGATTTGTTTTCAAGACCATTTACCTTTTCTTCACAGTGCTAGGCTTGATCTTGACTCAAGCCAGTGACTTTTAAGTTTCTTATCTCAAACATCTCCTGGCTAGAATGGCAGTGGGAGAAGAAGTAAAGTCTTTCTCACATTCCTTATTCCCATAGGGCTTCTTTCCAGTGTGAAATTTTCATGTATTCCAGGAGCATTAAGACAAAGGAAAGATTTTCCCACATTGCTTACATTTAAGTGCCTTCTTTCCAGTGTGAGTTCTTTCATGTCTTTGAAGGCCACTGAACCTAGGGAAGGCTTTCCCACATTGCTTACATCCATTCAATTGCTCGCCAGTGTGAGGTTTTTTTTTTCATGTTCTCAAATGGCACTGGATCTAGAAAAGGCTTTCTCACATTTTCTCACATTGCTTACCTTGATATGGTTTCTCTCCAGCGAGTTCTTTCAGATTTTTGAAGGTCACCAGAATGAGTGAATGCTTTTCCACATTGCTTACATCCCTAAGGTCTCTTGACAGCATGAGTTCTCTCATGTCTTCCAAGAGTGCTGGTTTTATCATATGGCCAACGTCCTCATGGTTTCCTCTCCCGTGTAAAGGTGGCTGTGGCAAGGGAAAGCTTTCCTACGCTGCTTACATAGAAGGTGTTTCTGTCCAGTTTGAAAGATTTCATCTTTATGAAGGGCACTGGAACAACTGAAGGCTTTTTCACATTGCTTACAGCCATAGGGTCTTTCTCCACTGTGAGTTCTCTCATGGCCTTGAAGGTCATTGAAAACAGTGAAGACTTTCTCCAAAGCTTACATCCATGGAGTTTCTCTTCAGTGTGAATTTTTTCAAGTTTGTGAAAAGAATTGGTTCACAATTTGAGGGAAATGGTGGAAAAGTGCAGCAGTGGAGCTCACTGGCCATGGATGAAAGTGAACTATACAACTTGGGGGTGGACAGAAGGGAGGGACTGAGAGAGAGTGATAGAAGGGAAGATATTGTATGAAAGGAAATGTATTCATTACCTGACTCATGTGATTTTAATCCCTCTGTACATCACCTCTAAAATAATAATAAAGTAAATAATTTTTAAAAGAAAGGAAATAAATAGCTGAAGTCTTCTTCCTGGTTTCTACATATAAATGGTTTCTTTTCTTTGTGAATTATTTCATGTACTTCCAAATCACTCAGGTTCCTGAATGCTTTGCCACAATGATTATATTTATGGTGTTAAAATGCAGCATTATCATGAGATGGATGAAAAATGAACTTCATTTGCACAGCACATGCGAAGGTATCACACGGCTGAGTCTTACCAGGTTCTCCCTCTTCATGTCTCTGAGAGCACTGGGAAGTGGAGTCTTTCCCACAGTCCTTAGAATTGTAAGGCCTCTCTCTATATCCATGATATACACAGGTTTTGTGTCCAGTGTGATTTGGAGGGACACATTTACTGGTGAATGAGGTTTGTTTGTTTTTACATGTATGGTGTTAGTCCACTACGAAGAGGTTTCTTAATTCACAATATGGTCTGGAGCCTACTGGAAAGGATTCTGCACTAATGCCACATTGTTTCTCTTCAGAGTCTTGCTACCCCTTCAGTTCTAGAGAGGCCATGTTCTTGAGCCTTTCCAAAATCAACTTTCCAATGGATCCACCAAAACCCACTTTTCCAAGGTGAAGTTTATGGCCACAGTCTCAAAGGTCACTGGCTTTCATTTCCCCTTCTGATAATCCCCGTTGTCACATTAGGTTACAAAGGCTGCCAAAGCTGTCACCCAAAGTCTTCCAGCAACTGACACACAGTGGGTCTCTATTTGTGTGTGTGTTTACAACAAACAAGAACAAGATACAGGCTTTTTGTAAGAAGTTTAAAGACCATGAAAACGTGCAAAGAAGAACATAAGTTACCTCTATTCCATAACTGAGCTATTCTCTCATAAAAAGTGTTCCTTTAGGTCCAGACTTCTTCCTAGACATTTCAAAGACATGAGTGAATGAGAGTCTGGGGAACCATGCCAGGGGTTTTAACTGCAGCTTGCTCTATGTATTGATTTTCCCTCTGGTCCCTTCTACTCTGTGGATTATATTGTTTATTGTAATGAATAATATGTAATAAGCAACGTATATAAATAATATCTATAAATGTTATAAATACAGTATGAATGTAAATCCAGGGTGACTGGATGCTAAAACGCCCCAATACAAGGTCAGCAGCGGCCACACTGTCTCCCCCCACCTTCATCGCCTTCATTGGCACCACTGTCACGTGCCCCAGAACCCACAGGTCGTGCTTGTTTGAGAGACAGGGAACCAGGATCGGCCCTTTGGGGGAAAAAAAAATCCTTCCCATTTGCTACACTCACATTCATCCCAGTTCCAGGAATCTGCCTGACAAATATTGACCAGGCTTCAGAGGTCCTCAAACACCATTTCCCAGTATCAGGAAGCTGTCCAGGCAGAGGACCCAGACCCAGCTCAGTGACTTCGCTCTGTGAGTACACACTGGTGCCCGAACTGAAGCGGCCTGCCACATCCCCCCTTCTCCCTCCTTCTGTCTCTGTCTCTGTCCCTGTCTCTGTCTCTGTCTCTGTCCTTGTCCCAGAATCTCTCTGCCCTTAGAGTCAGAGATGGGAACAGAGGCTTCTGAACAAGATACTAAATACTGCCTCTGAGTCTTGCAGAAAGAACTTCAGGTTTTCAAAAAAACACTAGCACAGAAAACTTGGCCTTAAAGAACTTGGAAAGAGGAAGTCAGAGTAAGCCTAGCAGGAAGACAAGGAAATGGGAGGAGGACAATCCAAAGGAAAATGACAACATTAACTAGGAATTCTCTTCCTTGAAGAAACACACTTAAAATTCATAGTCAGGGATTGCATCCTGCTCCTGCCTCTTGCTGGCTGTGTGCCCTGACTTCCCTACAATTTAAGGGATTTATAAGGGTTAAACAATACACAACAAAGGTTTCTCCACAAAGGTGTAAGCACAGTTGTGCAGGGCTGCTCTTCACTGGATGTGACTTTTCTAGGCATTTCAAGATTTTCCATGTTTGAGTCAGCAGCACCAGTCACCAGTGTGACCCCAAACACCACCCTCCTTCCCCCCTCCCCCGCACCTGTTTGTTCACAAACAGTGCTCTTGATTTTCTTTTCTTGGACCTTTCTGGAAAGGGTATTGAGGTGATCATTTCATGCAGCCTTGGTAGAGGGGAAGAAAACTTCCATCTTTTCCATGTGCGGATGCTTTGCATGCTACATGTCATAGAATCCTTACAGGCCCACCCCTTTTCCCCTTGCATTTTGCAGAAGGAGATACAGCTTTAAAAATAGTATTATTCTGTGGCACACTAGAGGCCCAGCCCTGGCTAGCAACCAATTGGAGTTTTCTTTGGGAAGCAAACCTTTCTGCAAGTTTGGGGTCCTTGGGGGGTACATAGGGTGCTGACTACAACAGGGCAGGCCAGTGTTTGAATAGCTCTGTGTTTTCCACGTTTCCTGTTCAGGGAAGTCCCTGTGTGAAGAGCTGTGACTGTGCTGAAGCGAAGATGTGGCCTTGGCGAGGTGCTCCCTGCACTTTGTCCAGCCAGAGGATTTCGACACAGCAGATAAGGGGACATCGTTCATCCTTTGTGGCAATGGGCCTGCGTGGGTGGCCACGTGTTGCCACCAGGGACCAGAAGCCAACCTTCTGCAGTAGGCTCTGCCACTAACACAAAAGGCACAGGAGGGGCTGATTACGAGGATGAAGTTTTCAGGACAGACAAGAGCTTGTGGTCACCAGCAGGCAGCCACTGCGCCTTGAAACTAAGGAGAGGGAACTGGAAGGCAGCAGGGTTTGGGAGGATTCAGGCTACAGGGTGGCAGCTGTCCCCCGTGGGGACAGCAGAGCTAGGGTGGGGACTGGCTTGTCCACGGTGTAGTTTTTCCTTGCACTCACTGCCCAGGCCGGACTCCTTCTGCTCCTGCACCTTTGCGACTTGGATGGGAGTAGAAGAGATGTGACACTCTGGGCACAGCTTGACTCACAGCTCTGCAAGCTGGATGTCCACAACCAAGGTGACCAGAGAGCTGATCTGCAATGACACTGGGCGGGGGCTGGGGGAATCTGCTCCAATGCTGTCCCCTGGCTCCAGAGAGCAGCTTAGTTTGATTTGTAAAAACATGGTCTGTTCTTTCTCTCTGTGTCTGCATAAACCACAGGCCTACTTGAATAACCTCATCTTAACTAATTGTATGTGCAATGACCTTATTCCAAGCAAGATCACATTTTCAGGTCCTGGAGGTTGGGAGTTCAGTTTGTTAACTTGGAGCACACACTCAACCCGTACAGATATGGTTCCCAACCCACTGCATAAGTGAAGACAGAGGCTCTTGTCACCACAGAGAATACCTGCCATAGAGGGTAGCACCAGGTGTGGCAGTGTGCACCTGTGATCCCAGCACTTGGAATGCTGTAGATTCCAGGCAAGCCTAGGCTACAGAGTGACACTGACCCTGTCTCAGAAAAGAACAGATAGCAGAGGCATGACAGAGACAGAGGTGATCTCTTTCACTCTCCTCACAAGATCTACTAGCCCAGTTACTTTGCCCACTGGACTTGCAAGCTGTCCTCTTCCACACAGTTTTTACTGCCAATCATTGCCCATCCTCCAACTAATGAAAGAGAAAAAAAGAGCACACTCATGTCTGGTTAGGAAATAACTGGTACTTATTATATCATCCTCTCTCTTGTTCTATCTTCCCTCCCTCCTTCCTTCCCTCTGTCCCCCCTCCCTTTCTTTCTTTGATGAGTGTTTGCCATCTTGTTTTCAGAGAATGAGTCCAACATGGCTGTGGCTGCTGGGAGCTGGGACCCTGGCCTCTGTCCATTGTCAGCCTTTTCCTGCCCATGGAGATAAGAATCTGGGGCGCCCCTCAGCCCCCCACCACCAGGCCTCAGAGCCACAACCCATCTACCACAAAGTCACGCCGACCATTACCAGTTTTGCTTTGCATTTGTACAAGCAGCTGGCAGTGGGCAACCCAGGAAACATCCTCTTCTCCCCCGTGAGCCTCTCCAGCACCTTGGCCCTGCTTTCTCTTGGGGCCCAAGTGGACATCTCAACTCAGATCCTGGAGGGCCTGGGCTTCAACCTCACAGAGACCTCAGCCGCGGACATCCACCAAGGCTTCCAGAGCCTCCTGCACACCCTGGCCCTGCCCAGCCCCAAACTGGAACTTAAAGTGGGAAACTCCTTGTTCCTGGACAAGCAGCTCAAGCCCCAGAGGCGCTTTCTGGACAGCGCCAAGGAGCTGTACGGAGCGCTCGCCTTCTCCGCCAACTTCACAGATTCTGCCGCCACAGGGAGGCAGATCAACGCCTACGTGAGGAAGCAGACGTACGGGAGGGTCGCCCACTGCCTCCCGGAGCTCGGCCAAGACACGCTCATGGTTCTCCTGAACTTCTTCTTCTTCAAAGGTGAGTGAGGGCAGAAGATTCTGCAAGTAATTGCTCTCATATGAACATGCCTTGGCCAACCTCAGGGACTTGGGTGGCATTGACTGTGTATCTCACACCCCATGGGGACTGGGGATGAGTAAGGCAGCAACACAGCTCAGAGGGAGGAGGATGTCCTTCTGTGTAGCGATGGGTGCGCTCAAAAAAGACACATATCTGGCATTGGGAGCCAAGGGAAGGCTTCCTGATAAAGGAGGCATTAAGCAGAGACATGAAGACTGAGGAGACATGATGGAGGAGTTGGGCAAGCTCAGGTGAAGAGGCCGTGGGAGAGGAGAGAGAGGAGGGCTGAGGCTGAGTAAAGTCTGCGGGAGAGAGACATCCTTGTATAATGAAAGAACCGAAGCTAAGTTAGTTTTCTGGGACATAGAACATAGAAAAGCGTTGCCTAGAGAGAATGTCAAGAATTGAAATATGGACTTGCACAGGGGCCATGTTGAGGATACCAGCCTTTATCAACAGACCTAAAGAACGTCCATAGAGACTGAAACCACGGAATGACATCAACGCATCTTTGTGGGAATGATTGCCATGGCAGGGCAAAGTTGTGCATGCCTATAATCTCGGCTACTTAAAAGGATGAATCCAAGAGTTTAAACTAAATGATACAGTATAATGAAATCCTATTGAGAGAGAGAGTCAGTCAGACAGACAGACAGACAGACAGAGACAGAGAGGGAGGGAGGAAGATAACAAGGAAGGAAAAAGAAAGGAAGGGAGGGAGGAAGGGAGAAAGGAAGGGAGGAAGGAAGGAAGGAAGGGAGGGAGGAAGGGAGGAAGGAAGGAAGGAAGGAAGGAAGGAAGGAAGGAAGGAAGGAAGGAAGGGAGAAAGGAAGGGAGGAAGGAAGGAAGGAAGGGAGGGAGGAAGGGAGGAGGAAGGAAGGAAGGAAGGAAGGAAGGAAGGAAGGAAGGAAGGAAGGAAGGAAGGAAAGAAGGAAGGAAGGGAGGGAAGGAGGAAGGGAGGGAAAGAAAAGAGAGAGATCACTTTGTTTGCCATCTGGTTTGGAGAGGAGTGACGGGGAGATGAGGAAACACATTACAGTTTACTCAAAGTGGTGCAGGGTGAGCACAAACGGTTGCCTTGAGGGAATCCAAAGCATCTGGCTTCTCTTTAGAAACAGATTTTCCAGAGGTGTCTGGGCTAAGAGAATCCATTCAGTGAGGTTGCCAATGTGTCCCAAATTGAGAGCCTTGAGCACATTCACAAAGAGTCCATTTCCTCATCTCTGGTATGGAGATAAAAGAAATGTCGCCTATTGATTTCTGTGATGAGTTAAAGACATAGCACCTCACACGTGGATGGTTTAGTAGATGGAAATCCCTTCTGTGGCCCCTTATACATAATCATTCTTTCAAACCAGAACTAGCCTGTAGGACCTTAGAGCTCCTGCCAGGCCCTCCTGACTCTCTCCATGGTGCAGCTTTCCCTCATATCCAAGCCCCTTCCCCAGCAAGGCTGTCCGAAGCTGCTCTCTGCCTGGGTGCTCACAGCCCTGTGGCTTTTGTGTCCCCAGCCAAGTGGAAGCATCCCTTCGACCGCTACCAGACCCGGAAGCAGGACAGCTTTTTCATGGATGAGAAGACCTCGCTCCGTGTGCCCATGATGAAGCAGAAGGAGATGCACAGGTTCCTCTATGACCAGGAGGTGGCCTGCACCGTCCTCCAGATAGAGTACAGCGGCACCGCCCTGCTGCTGCTGGTCCTCCCTGACCCTGGGAAAATGCAGCAGGTGGAGGCCGCCATGCAGCCTGAGACCCTGAGGAGGTGGAGCCGACTCTCACCGCCCAGGTGGGTGCTGAGTGGCAAGATGTCGGCCATGTGTGCTCAAGCACTGGAGCAGGTCTTGATCTGCTCCTGTTTCATGAGCTCAACCGGTAGGTTGGCTCACTGGCCTGCCCTAATTGTTCACTTCTTTGAGAGTGTGGTGATAAGGACACGATGTTTACCTAACACACATCTAGCACACATATTATGTACTTCAATTACATTTGCCTTTCCATTCCCCTCTTAGGCATCCCCCCTTCCGACTTCCATTTTCTTCCCCAAGAATCCCCTTCAGTAGACAGGCTCAAGATATAGTTCAGAAGTTGAGCCAGCAGAACTCACAAATGAATCAGAAGTGGAGGTGGAAAAGGGAAAACTGTTTACTTTACATGACATCATGTCTATTCATCCAGGTAAGCCTTGTCAAAACCTAGCTCGTGTCTGGCACCTAGAAAGGCCACTACCAAGGCAGCGAAGGTGAAGAGGACCGATAGCTATGCCGGGAGACTTCTCATATCCAGCCCCGGGACATGTTGTGAAGTCTGAATCGAGGGAGTATCATGTGTGGTCATGTGATATGCTGCTGTGGGAAGACTGGGGGTGCCCCGTGCTGACAACCCCGGCTGTCTCCCCCACGGTGTGGGCTGCCAGCAGACAGGCCCCTGCAGCACACGTAACCAGATGGAACCTTTCCTGTGTCTGATTTTCTCTGCAGTCTGTTGGATTTGCACTTGCCAAGGTTTTCTATTTCTGGAACGTATAACCTGGAAGAGATCCTTCCTCAGATTGGCCTTACCAACATATTCAATGTGGAAACTGGCCTGTCAGGAATCATGGGGCAGCTCAACAAAACTGTCTCCCAGGTGAGGCCATCAATACTTCCCTCCCTCCTCCCGCAGGATGCATCTGAAAACCACAGTCCCCATTCATTCTGTGATACCTCCATATTACAGTCAAAGATTTTGCATAGGGTAGGCGCTCATTCTAGATCATTCATGAAGATGTAATTTTTCCAGGTATGGGGTAGTTTTATTTTTATTCCTCAGACTTTCTCCTGGGGCAGCTGTTAAGCTCTGTTTTCATTACAGCTCTGGAGAGGTGTGGGATGTGACCGGCGAGAGTATCAGTCAGCTTTCATAAAGTAACAAGCATCCCTGAATCTCAGTACATGAGATTATAACCATCAATATTGCATGTCAGGAATAGATCACTACCATCAGCTACAGATGAGCTTCCGGTGATTTCTTCCTGCCTGGATGGAGGTTAAAGAAAAAGCTGCTGTTTGGGACATAGCATTCTCAGATGAGAGGGGGAAAGCAAGAGAAAATGTACTGAGGCTCTCAACTCTGCTCCCCTGTGGCTCTATCGTGGCCACTGTCATTCTACCAGATAAAGCAAGTCCCACTTGCAAGACAGTTACCAATGGGGGCACATAATCCATGTGAAGTGGGGAAGGACTGATAACCCTCTAACAAGAAGAGAATCAATAGATGGGAATAATTGAATTATTATTCAGTCTTTTACAGGAAGGAAGGCAGCAAAGGTTGGGTTATTGTTCTTATTTCAGGATAGAATTGTTCATTGCCATTGGACTGTTTGCTAGCGACTTCATTCTGTCTTCTATCTGGGAACAAACAACTGAGAGTGGAGTGCCCAAACCAAGGCCATTGTGTGTGTGTGTGTGTGTGTGTGTGTGTGTGTGTGTGTGTGCACACATACAGGACTATCTGTATATGTATATGTGTGTAAGTACACACATGCCTGCTCTGTGTGTGTATGTGCATAAGTATATGTGTGTGTGCACTTGTGTGGGTTTAAGTGCACACATGCCTGCTCTGTGTGTGTGTGTGTGTGTGTGTGTGTGTGTGTGTGAAGGGTGAAAAACAAGGAAAAATAGGTCAGCTTTTTAAAGACCATTTTCACAGTGACCTCGACTGATACGGTTGTCTTTTCATAGAGCCTTTTAGAAATAAAAGGGAATGTCAAGGCTCCATCTTTCAACCTCTTTCAAAGCCTCAGAACGCTTCATTCCCAGGAAGTTGTGTGAAAGAGCAGTTTTAAAAACAAACCACAGCTCCTCCCTGGAGGCCAGTAGATGGCCTGATTTCACCAAGCTCATTAAGAACCACTGCTTTAGGTTGACCAGTCATTTTGAAGACAACAACACTGAGGCACAGGGAGATTAAATGCAGCTCATTGCAATGCAAAGACACACCGGGACATGGGCAGTGCTCCTGCAGGTGCTGCTGGCTTTGCAGCCTGAGAGGACTCAGGAGCCCCAGCCTGGTCGGGCTCAACGGTCCTCCTGCCAAAGGGCACTCATTGTCATGAGGCAAACCCACTGGGGTAGGGAAGGAAGAGAAAACGGAGAGGCAGAAGGGGGAATGAGGTAAGGGCTGGGGTTGCTCCGGAGGCAGGCAGGACTGTGGGCCCAGATGTGGTCCTACTCCATCTCCCCAGTGTACTGCAGATGTAGCCTTTGCCATGGAAACCCTGGCTTCATAGCATCCCTCTCTGTCTCTTCTTCTCTGTGTCCCACAAGGCAGTGATTGACATGAATGAGAAAGGAACGGAGGCAGGGGCCGCCTCCGGCCTCCTCTCCCAGCCCTCGCCTCTGAATGTGACCTGGACACCACATGCCCACTTCAGCAGGCCTTTCTTGCTGCTCCTTTGGGAGGTGACCACCCAGAGTCTACTCTTTCTGGGGAAAGTGGTCAACCCGGCTGCAGGGTGACTGTGATGAGGGCCAGGGGTGTCTTTTCTACCCAACTGAACAGAAAAGCCTGCCCCCACCTGTGTGGCGGGACCCTTGCAGGCCAGAGCATAGTGTTCTGATTCTAATAAAGCTGGCATTGGGTCTGTGAGCACTGAGGATCTGCGCTGAGGAGGAGGGCGCTCCCCAGAGCCGCTTCTAGCCATTCGCCCCAGCACCACCTCACCCCTGGCACTAGCTGAGACGAGGAAACACTCATGTCCCAGCCCTCTCTTACAGATATCTGCTGAGTGTCCTTTGAGTAAGGGACACTGTAAAGACACCGGGGACCTGAGGACAAATGAGTGAATGCACTCTTCTATGGTGTCATCACCAAGACGTTGAGAACTAGCTCACTGTGCTGGGTCAGACTAGTGCACTCCTGGGGCAGCTAAGGCAAACGAGAAAAGAGCATCAGAGCATCAGAGCTGAGTCACTCCAAAACCAAGGGAAGTGTGAGGCCAGGAGGATGATAAACGTAGGACAGAATGTGGTTGGTGGGTGCATTTGGGGCTGTGTTCTGTGGAGATGGAGCCCCCTTCAGAAAACAGAAGTTCAGCACCCCCACACAGGCACCTGTAATGAGTCGGGGCACGGGTGCCAACTTAGTCATGTCCCGTATGCACGCATCTGACACCTGACACGCACCTGAAATCTCCCCTGTGAAAATGACCCAGGGAGCAAAGGGTTGCTAGCTGTATGCTGGATCTTTGAGCGTGGAGAAGAGGAGATTTTATTCACTGAGTGTTCAAAACCAGGATGTTGTTCAGATTCTAATAGAACAGGAATCTGGAAGCAGACATGCCCTACTCCAGTTCAGACCCCAATCACTCTAGCAGTTCTCCAATGGTAGTACGCATAAGAACTGTGTGCTAAAAGAACACGGATGACCAAGGTTGGTGAGTGTTGGCTGTGATTTTGAACCAAGATCCTTCACGAAACCCTGTGCACTTGAGTAGGGCTCCTTGACATAAACCAGGAACCCAAGAATCCTATTTCTCTAAAGTCCAAACACAAACATTGGGTCTTAACACCAAGATGTGATCCCACACAAAAGCCAGTGGCAGGTGGGAGATGAGGGGAGGTAAGGAGAGGGAGATGTGGGAGAAAACATAAAGTGATTATGGTTACCCCACACCCACACTGCAGGAGCTGTGGTCCAGGTGAGAAAGAAAGCTCTCCCCAGGGATCTAGATAGACAGACCTACGAATGATGTCAGGAAGCAATTAGCCAACTGCACGTCACCCAGAGATAGGGCAGAGACTTGCACTGACATTTTAACCCTCTGAGTCTGTAAAGTTCCCAAATCTGTGTCGCTAGCACAGCTGTGGGCCAGTAGTGTGACTGTCTACAAATGATGAAATAACACCAGGGTGGCCGGGGCTGGGAAGTGCCTTGGCTTCCACATGCCCGTTACAGAGTTATTAACGAAACAACATTGAAACCAGGACTCTGCCATCTGCCTTCCCAGACTCATATCTAAGACGAGGCGTGCTCCTCACAGCCATTCAAATCCAGATAACAGGAACCCTCACCTACCTTTTACCATATACCTTTTACCTGGAGAGAAACCTTGAGAGGAAAAGATGTCTGCCTTCCCCAGAGTCAGGCGCCCTCTGCTGGGTACAGAGCGGCATTGACCTATCCCTCTCCTTGTGGACTGAGTTTTAAAAAGGCTTAAAATAGATATAACACAAAGCATCTGTAACCCTAGCTACTACTCAGGAGGCTGAGATCCAAGGATCACAGTTCGAATCCAGCCCAGGCAGAAAGGTCTGTGAGACTCTTATTTCCAATAAACTACTCAGAAAAAGCTGTGGATGAAGTGGTAGAGTGCTAGCTTTGAGCCAAAGAAGCTCAGAATCAGCTCCCAGTCCTTGAGTTCAAGTTCTAGGACACACACACACACACACACACACACACACACACACACATGCAATTTTATTTTATACTAGAAGTATACAAATATGTTGCCATTTACTTAATATTTAAACTATCAGGGTTATTCTGTGGTTTTACTTACTCTATCTGGATCCCAGGGAGGTATACTTTTTTTTTTTTTGTGGATTAGAAGGAAGAAAGTTACATGATGCTGCAGAATAGGCCAGCCAGCATCATGGCAGAGGGAGGAGTATTCAGAAGGAAGTGGTGAGCTAGACCCTTGTGTCTATGACATGAACAAACCCTAAGGAGCTTCTTGGGGAATTAGACATGTGGCTCAGTTGTCCCAGTGTCCAGGTGGGCATGCAACCTCTTGCCACACTGTGGGTGAGGCCCCAGCTGATCACAGAGGTAGGGCGGGCCCAGCGAGGCCTGGCCCAGAACTGCGCAGCTGGCTGTCTCTTGTTTGGAACCACTAATGTGGAAGGAAGGCGTGATGCAGCAAAAGGTATCTGAGGCAAGGGTGAGTTTGCCTCGAGAAGGCTGCGCTGAGGTCACATGACACATTGCTGTTCCCGAGTGCCACGTCCTGGCAGGTCCACCCTCACTGTTCTCCCCAAGGTCTGAGGGAACAAGTGTTGGGCTACCTACTCAGGTCAAGGGACCCTGCAGGCCTAAAGGGCTCTGGAACTGGGAATGATAGAATTACATATGAGCTGAATGCTGATGGCTCACACCTGTAATCCTAGCTACTCAGGTGGCTGGGATCTGAGGACCATGGTTTGAAGCCATCCCAGACAGGAAAGCCCATAAGACTCTAATCTCCAACTAACCACCAAAAATCGGGAAGTAGAGTTATGGCTTAAGAGGTAGAGCACTAGCCTTGTACAAAAACACACAGGGACAGTGCCCAGGCCCTGAGTTCAAGCCCTAAGACAGCACACACAAAAAAATGAGGTGTGGATCTTGGTGAAGGTAATCCACTCATATACCACCACCCTGGAAGCAGAGAGAAGAACCAGTTCTCTGGTTCAGCACCCACTTAGTGCTCCTGATTGGTCCAGGAGCTAAAAGTTGCTCAGGCTGGTTTGGTCATGGAGGGTGTGCTTTAAGGACAGGGCTATGTAAAGGAGGGCAGCTTCTTGATCCACCCTACAAAATCTGCTCCTATTAATGTTTAATAACAACAAATAGTAACAGATAGGGGCTGGGAAGGTGGCTTAGTGGTAGAGTGCTTGCCTAGCATTCACCAAGCCTTGGGTTCGATTCCTCAGCACCACATAAACAAAAAGAATAACAGATACTTACAAGAATGGACATCAGAACACTGGTAACAGCAAACAAGGTGAGGATGAGTGAAGCCACCATTTCGAGTGGGGTGCAAACTGGTACAGCCACCTTAGGGACAGTTTGGCCATCATCAGGGTCCCTGAGAGACGAGGCAGAGACTTCTGTGTGATCAAGCCCAGGACTCCATGCATGCTAAGATACATTTACCACTGAGCTCGGCACTGTTTCCTAGGGTTGCCAGTCCCACAGCAGGGCAGTCTATCCACTTCATCTCATATTTTATGTTCCAATATTCTCCATAGAGGAGGCTCAGGAGGGTCCTTCATAGAGGAAATGATTGCTTCCAATATCCTGGAATTTAAAAAAAAGAGAAAGATAAACTAAAAAAATGCCTGTGGGTCATGAAAATTATAAGAAGAATGAGTAAAAGGAGGAGGCAACAATGCTTGATAAGAAATGTACTCATTATCTTGCCCATGTAACTGTAACCCCTCTGTATGGTATTTTCACAATAAAAAAAGAACTAAAAAAATAAGAAGAATGAGAACTCCAATGGCTTTTCAACCACTTCTAATAATTTGGGGAGTAGTTGGAAATAACTCAGAACCACTAAGATTTCTGGGAAGCATATTGCTTCAACTTCTCAATGTCTGCTTTGTGACTTGCAGAGCGCAGCAATGATTTGAGGCATAGCTCTAACTGTGATCTTTATTGTTCATTAGTTTGAGTGCCACAGAAGCACAGTTCGGGTGTACATGGCAGCCATACTGCTCTAAGGCTTTGAACTTCTACTTCATGTACACCTAAGTGAAGACCAAGCAATAAGAAGTAAAGATGGCTTGGGGGTGGGGGCAGTGTAGGGAGGAACAAGGTCTTCCTGGGGGCTGATCTTCTATGCCCCCTCTGGCACTCAGACACCCAGCAGATGTGACAAGTCCTCTTTGTGGAGATGTCTACACAGACTGACCAAGAGGGTGCCAGGAAGCAACCAGAATTCAGGTTGCTTTTCTGGGAATAGGTGGGGCAAGGAGGTCTAGGTGAGAGGCCAGGTCCTGGCCAAAGGGAGCCCCAATGGACCACCAGAGATTGGGAGGAGGAGCAGGTGCAATGCAATGGGAGCATCTGGTAATCACAGCTCAGCTTTCCCTTGGTTTCCCCACCAGGACCTGCTCCCCTTTCCTCAGAGGGAAAGGGGAAGGGCAGTACTAGGTGTGGTGGAAGCTGCCAAACTCCCTGCCCTTCTCACTCCAGTCTTCTCTTCCAGCTCACAAACAAAGCAACTGAGTTTGTTTTGTTTTCTTTCTTTTTTCTTTTTCTTTCTTTCTTTCTTCCTTCCTTCCTTCCTTTCTT